GTTGAGGGAGCTTTGCCATTTGCTTTGTTAATTCTTCCACTTGTTGAGCGAACAATTTGTTTTGGGATAAAATAGCTTCATTTGATCTTGAATCACTTACTTCCTCTCTCTTTTGTACCATACTTCAATCATGTTGGACTTGATGGTCATTCCTTGCCATTCTTTCAATAATTTCCACCGCTTCTTCCGTTGTCTTTGTCATGAGTGATCCTCCCGCTGTAGCATCCAACAAAATTTTTGGTTGTGGTTGTAATCCATTTCAAAAAATATGCATTTGGGTAATGGCACCAAAACCATGACTTGGATATTTTCTCAACATACACTTTCACCTTTCCCAAGCTTCATTCAATGAATCGGATCTACCTTGAGAGAACACCGATATAGCCATTTTTGCTTCCAAGAAACGTGATTGTGAGAAAAACCTTTCAAGAAATTTTTCTTCAAGTCTATTCCAATCCGTCATGAGGTTATTAGGTTGGTCAAGATACCAATCCTTAACTTTACCGATCAACGAATATGGAAATAATCTTTTAAACATTTGTTCTTCATCTTCCTCTGGATCTCCTATTGCACCCTCTATCTCATAGAATTTTGTGAGATGGGTGTAAGTATCTTTATGATCTAACCCAGTGAAAGGGTTATGATACAACAGTTGTAAAATTCCAGTTTTAATTTCCGAATGTCTTTGGTCCGCATTCCTAGCAAATTGAGCATTCAACCTTGGACTATTTGTACAGGGACCTCTTGGTGGGTTTGTTGCCATAACTTCTTCTATATCGTGATTAAAAGGTATAGTAGAAATGGACGCCTCTCCTCTTTCTCTTCTTTCTTTCGCTAGCTTCCTCCTTCTTCTAGTCTTGCTATTAAGTTTTCTGCAAGTCCTTTTGATTTCAGGGTCGAATAAGAGTTGATCTTTAGAAATACTTCCTCGCATAAACTAAAATCTGAAAACACTAACAAAACAAGTGAAAAACAAAAGATATTATTAATAAAAAAAAACTTAAATCACTTAAACTATTGCAATGCTTTCAATAGTCAAACGCCAATCCCCGACAACACCGCCATTTTGTTTGTAGTATTTTTAACAAAAGTATTTATATTATCGTTTTCCTCAGGGATTTGTGTGATATCAATGTCGTTCTATAATTTGAGTGTTTATAAGTTTTTGAATCATAAACAAAGTTTAATGCTTGCTTTTAGTAACCAAATATCAACTTTCATGCACTAGATATTTCTTTGGATAATAGAGAGGTTGTTGTTTGAAATTGTTTGTTTTGATAAAAAAAGAGTGTCAAGATTATTTTTCATCAACCTATTCCATAGTTATTCGATTATCCTTGTATATGAACTAATCAATGATCAATACATTCACGTATTCTCTCAATATTTCTCATGTCTAATCAATATTGTGAGTGTTATCATGTTAATCTTTAAATGATCTCTTAACCTAACTATTAACATGATAATCTTTAATGCTTGATACAAGTGAATACTAGCTCACAAATCTATGTCTAGAGTTTGTTCATTAGTAGATGAATATCTTATGTCAAGCTTGAAACTTACTTCTCAATAATGGACCAAACCTTAAAAATAACAATGATACAAAGATATTCAACATGTATTAATCTTCAACCAAGTTCATATACAAAATGATTAAAAGAAATATATTAAGTCTAGGTCGACTACTTCTAACCTTGGCACAAAAAATGTTTAGCTACTCATTGTCATGATACCTTGCTCAATGAGTAGACAATGAATGTTGATGAACATAAATCTTCAAGTCTCCTTGAAGAACAATGCAAGAGTTCTTGTTTCTCCTCTTTCTTTGAGATAAGAACCAAAATCTACTTTCTATGTTGTAATGTTATTATTCATAGAACAAAAGGTCTCTCTATCTAAAATCAGATTTCTTTCCCTCTACAATGCAAAAGTTGGTGGAAAGTTTCCATAAAAGGTGGCAAAAATTAGCCAAAAGTATGGCCTATCCGCGCTCCATCGCCAGGCGACCATAAAGTTTCGCCGGGCGATTTCGGCTAGATGTCACACTTGACCAGCTGGGCGTGTTAAAACCCCTAAAGAGCATCTTTAATCGCTCGACGACAAGAATGCTTCACCGGGAGATTCTCATTTCGCCAGACGCCCCAGAAGCGAAACAATACAGAATTAAAGATTCTTTCTCTTCATCAGTTTCATCGAGCGACGCCTACTTTCACCGGACGATTCTTTGCAGCAACTCACTCTTCTTTCTTACGCTTGGTTAGCCTAAATTCTCCACTTTTTGCATCTTTCCTGCACATGTTTAGCTGAAACACTAACAAACACATTAAACCTACAAATCTCTCTAGATACTATGTAAAATGACTAAAATAACTATTTAACCTAATCAAAAGTAAAATAAAAGATCTCAAAGTGTCAATAATTGATATGTATTTTATGCATAAATTGACACTTAACAAGGCGACAATGAAAGTCCAAATAGAGGCAATGAGGCAAGTGCAACAACGACAAATGAAGGTCATGGCGAGGAGGCAAGCTGATATGGAGCAACAAATAGAATAATTTATGCAAGGGTTTGGTGGAAATCCAAACTTTCGCGGTCAAGAGCCGGAGGATGACGGAAACGAAGATAATTTTGATATTGATAATTATGACCCGTAAACTTAATTTTTTTTTATTTTACTTTCAAATTTAAATTTGTATACCATACTAATTAATTCTTAAATTTATAATTTTAGTTTATTAATTTTATTATATTAAATTTAATATATTAAATTTATTATATATTGAATTTATTATTTTAATTTATTATATTGAATTAATTAAATTGAATATATAAAAGAAAAACAAATTCAGCTATTAAATAAAAAAAAAATTAGTGACATGATTTTCACGTCACAAATCACGTCGCAATTCACTTTTTATATAAAAAAACACAAAAGTTGAATAGTCAAGCGTTGTTAAATGTAACTATTTAGTGACATGTTTTTCACGTCACTAATTTCTGACGTGAAAAATACGTCGCAATTAAAGTAACCTATGTCTGCTGCGCCTGCTTTCCTGCAGAGTTGTGTTTTCTATAAAACTTTATTGCGACATGATTTTTACGTCACAACTTTGTGATATGAAAATCACGCCGCAAACTGTTTGCCACCCTCTCCCCAGCCACGTGAACGCACACGTCACAAATAATGTGTAGTGACGTGATTCCTCATGTTGTGACGTAAAATTTACGTTGCAAATGAGTGTTTTTTTTTGTAGTGCAATATTGCATATAAAGGAGATGAAGAAAACATGTCAGCTCACCTCTCATGTAGATAAAATAGACGGACGTTTGAGGCCAATTGATAAAAGGGATTTATTTGTATCTTTTTGAAAATTAAGAGATCAAATTGACACGAAAAAATGATAAGGGATCAAAATAAACCATAGACTATAGTGAAGGGACCAAAATAAATATTTTGCCTCCCTTATATTAACAAATAATAATAACCAATACACCTATTTCTTACTATTTATGTTTATTGTGCTGATATAAAATCTAACATTTTCCTTTTTTCTTATATGATGATGCTGAAGAAAGACAACATAAAAGGGAATGGTTTTGAACAAGAAGTACAATTAAATCTTCCATTCTTGCAAACAAATCAAAATGGCATTTGTCTATATACAATAGTCATTTATGAAATGGTGTATTTAGTAAAACACGTAATTTTTTTATATCTTTCGTAGGAAATACATTTGATGGTGATGAAGAAAATGACATTCACAATGAGTTAACTGAATTTGAATATAGTTTAAGTCTAACTGAAGATTTGTTTGAAAAATGTCATATCTTATTAAAAAATGAGCTGATTTATTTAATAAATATTAATGACCTTACCCAGATTATTGGGACATCAATGATTATGGTGCCATGATGTGGTATGAAGAAAGATCCTAAAAACATTGTAATTCTGAAAACCCAAAGTTCTCCATGTGTTGTTTGTAGGGAAAGGTTTATCTTGAAAGTTTGCTGCCACCTCTTGGATCAAAATCAAAGTTTGCTCAATTATATATATATATATATATATATATATATATATATATATATATATATATATATATATATATATATATATATATATATATATATATATATATATATATATATATATATAATCGAATGATTTCTGTTAGGTAAAAATTTATTTTTAAAAAAGTAGTTTTAAATTACTCAATTTTAATTATTATTTATTATTATTTTCTTACTTTTATATTCTATATTATATTTACAATATGAAAAATGACAGATCATCATTGAAGACATATATTATTAGTGACATCAAAGAAGCCCTTAATGGGTTTAATCTATATGCAAAACTTATAGGATGGTTCGTGAGAAGCTACAAGAAGAAAATGTTCACCATTTAAAATTATGGCTTATAAGCAAAAGAGGATGTGATTGTCGAAAACACCATCTTCCAACTGCATTTGAAGTGGCAGCACTTATTATGGGTGATTTTGATTCAGCAGACGTTGAAAGAAATATCATCATAAAAGAGAGATCGCGGCTTTTATATTCTCTTTTATATTTATTCTTTTGCTTTCAAGTCTTTAAGATGAATTTACTCTATATTTTTGTTCAATTGAAGAGAAAGTCACAGAAGGGCAATTTATGTTTGTATCAGTTGAATGTACTTTTTTGTTTTACAATATGAAGAATTTTTTTTTGTTATTTTCACAGGTTCGTATTTTTACTATAAAAATATAATATCTGACATAATTTATCTCGTACATCGCACGAATAGAAATAATAGTTTATTATATAGAATACCTGCTAATGCAGTATATCATTAATTATTTACAAACATTACATAAAATAAATACAAACCAAAAAACAAATTATATACACTAACTTAACACCTTCACATCTTCCATTTTCATAAACCAAAAATGGAAGATGGAATCATCACATTAAACATATATTGGCCATCACTCTCATTGTTAGCAAAGACAACATATCAACGCCTGCTCGGCTCAACACCGACCGACTTCAATGTCTCAGCGGTTCGAGCACTGCAACAAACCACATTCATATCAATAAATAAAACTGTAACAAACAGATTCAAAATCAATAATTATAGTTAAAGAATGAAGTTAATTACCGGGTGAAGGGATTAGGGTGGACAGGATCATGGACAGTGGGGTTGCTGTCTTGAATATGAGTGATTTTCCTAAAGAATGAGCCATTGATGAATTTGTCAGCAGAGTCGATAGTTCGATCAGGATCATAAACTTCAGGCAATGATTCTCTTCTTTTCTTGTTCACATGAACAGTTGGAGAACGTGCCAGTTGTTGATAGGCAGTGTGTGATGCAAACATCACAGCCACACCCACCATTCCACACACAATGTACACCGGTGTTAACTCTGCCTTCAATGTGCTCGACCTACACCAATAAGTATCTAGAAATTTAATGACACATCTGATATTGCATGAATCATCACTGAAAGACTGTATGCAATCACGTAGTCAATGATGTGACCATCTTTTTAGATCAGACGGTCAAAATCTTTCTGACGTTGTGATTGCATGCAGTCAGTCAGTCACGTGGTTGCATGCAGTCAGCGATGACTGACTGACAATCTAGGTTTTATATTACGCACCTAGAAATTGAATGAGAATTATGTGTAGAATCTATGCTTGTGGACATAGGTTTCATTTTTGGAATGGTGGAGGTAGTAAACGAACGTGTTCCAGCTCCTCCCAATCGAGTCACCATGGATCGTAAATTTTTCTGCATGTATACATAAATCATGTTACAATGTTAAAGTCTTAACAAACTTTGAAAAGTAATATTGAAAAATGGAATTGTTTTTACCGTTGCGTTGAAAGCCATATTTTGTTGTAGATGAAATGAAATAGTAATACAATAGATAGAATGATGTTATTGTTTAGATCATAAGCCATTATATAGGACTTGAGAAAAGCATAGGTTTCATAGTTACCAACCACATGGCTTTCCTTAATGAAGGAAATATTTATGACCATAGGAGATAACTTTTCCTAAACAAAGTTTTAGTTTCTATTTTCGATCTTATACCTTTACCAAGTTTGATATGCTATTAAAGGTTAGTTTGACGAATGTGGTTGTGGATACAAAAAGCTATAGAATCGGCATAGCCTTCAAAATTAAGTTGATGATTTTGCAACTCTTTGTGACAATATTGTGGAAGAGTACGAATGAGGTGGGAGGTTACAAATGAGTTATGTTGGCATCTTTTTCTAATTGAGGCAATTAATATCAATTTTACTCTTTGAGTTACCTCTACGAGGAATATACAGTTTTATGGGATAATTTTTTTACCTATCACAAAAAATTAGATAGTATACATTCTATCAATCATAACATTTAATTTTATCCTATTTAATTATTTATTAAATAAAATACTTTTTAATTGTTTTGAAAATATTTTATTTCAAGGATAACTCTATCCAACTTTTTGTATTGGGTAGATAAGAATTCATGTAATTTATCTCATATATTTTGAGGTATAATTTTACTAATGTAAAATTACTTTTCCATTTAATTTCTCAAAATATTATAGCACTGTCAAAGTGAATTAGTAAAGAAGTTTTATTTTTACAATATTTTTTTTATTCTATTGCCACTTTTCTTATATTATTATTTTTATTTGAGTCAGACAAAGATCTAATTAATGTGAAAGCTCAACTAAGCATAATTTAATTGAAATGATCTAATATATATAGTCAGCATACATGATATTTAAGATAGAGTTTTTTAATATTCACTTTTACTTCAATCATCTTGTACTCTATAACAGATTTGAATATTGGAGTCTTAACCTTGTAGGTCCATCATGCGCCACCACATCGGAGATCAACATCACAATTTTATGAGTTCAACTTCATCAATCAACATCAATTCTGATTCCTGTGCAGAACAGTGATGCTGTCTGTGAGAATCAAAATCAAATTCTTGCAAAATTCTACGATCAAATCACATTTGATCCAAAACCGAATCATGAAGAAATCGCATTTCAAACTCATTTCTTTCCCAACTTTATGGCATAATACATTTTCTTTAGCTTCCCTGATCCATCTACCAATTCCGATGACGGTAATTAAGAATATCCAAAAGAAAATTTTAGGACAAAAATGATACCTTTGTTATCACAAGATCTCACCTTATCTGAAAGAGAAACCACAAGAAGCTGTTGATTATTGCTACCCCAGTCGGAGAAACAAACCTCTATCATGAATTCAAGATTTTTCTTTATCATAGCGATAAACCATATCATTTAAAAAAATATCAATCGACATTGGAAATTGAAATTTTTGAATATAGCTCGAGATGAACAGGGAAGCAGATCTCCTACTCATTGGTCGAAATAGAAGGAGAAAGGAAACCTTGTGGATCCAACAGATCCGTCGACAACCTACAAAAATAGGCATGTCAGTCGAATCTACTCCTACCTCATGGCCAGCTAAACTGGCATACACATCGACTCAAGCCAACAAGGCGCCTTTCCTAAAAGACAAATTTGTGATGGCTCTCACACCATAAAGAAAAATACCCTATAGTCGCAGTGACATGGACTTGAGATCGAGTGGTACATAACATGTTGTAAAAAAATCCAAGCAACTCATCTCAACACCAGAGAGGCGGTAATCTGACAAAATGTCGGCCCGTGATAAACCCAAAAGGAATATTAAACAAATAACAACAAGCAAAAAGAAAACGTCAACCGAAGAAAGGTAAATAATATATATTTTTATTTATACAGGTAATGGGAAAACACAAAGGTACAACACCTTGTTTACATTAAACATAAAATGAAACCAAGTCTCTCCTTATTAAGGCGTTGTGTCATCATCCTCCACCAAGGCCCTATATCGAACAACCTTGAGTGGGTCAAGTTGCCAATGTAGAATAGGAATACTCGAATGAAGTGCTTCCACTTGGTCAGTGGCTTGGTCGAAGGCTATGTACATCCTTTTAAGAGTTTGATGGAGGGCCTCACCGACCTCGTTCCTTAATCCAGCCACTCGTCTCTCATAGACTTAGCAGTCCTTAACTCAAGATTCCTTCTCCTGTTTAAGGGCTCCCACAACCTCATGAGCATGATATTTCATATCCGCAACAACAACAATAGCCTCTTTTCTTGACTTATTCTCCCTTTCTAGAGAGGGTTCAAGCTCAATAATCCTAGTATCAAGAGAGGAAGGGGATCCATGAACTTTTACCTCGTCCTGAAGAGACTCTGCATGGTTATCCTTCTCCCAAAGGGCTAACACTTTCCATTTAAGCTTAGATCTCTCTTTTTTAGATGCCTCGCATTTCCCCTTTCGGTTCCTAGTGATGTTGAAGACTTGCACCTACTCTTCTTGATCGGGGAGGGTAATGGCAAGCTTAACGATTGAACTAGTTCCCTTCGATGGGGATGGGTGACAACAAAGATTATTAGTTACTATAACTCCCACTACGATGGAATACATATCTTACCATTATAAGGAGAAATATTCTACTATGGACAGTGGTATGTGGTAAGGTAGTGTGTTATTGCGTGTTCCCTCTTTACAACCACATGCTACTAGCTGTGGTAAAAAGACAATAGCATGTAATATACCACTATGGTTGTTTAAAGAAACCTTAGTAAAATGTTAAAGTCAGGTGTTTAATTCAAGCGCCTGGATTTTTTCATATTTCAACATATTTCACCATAGTTCTTGATCGTACCTGTGATCAGAACTTGAAAGTGGGCCAAAGGATGACGTCTGGTTTGCTGGAAAGTTAAGGAGAAATGGGGGTTGTACCTGCAAGGCACTCTGATGATCAAGTAAGAATGGGTGCAAAGAGATACAAGCAAGATGTTAGGGTTTAAGGTTTGAATATTAGATACCTAGCCCTCACAAGTCAAAGGCTTTATATAGTTCCCCTGACGCGTAGCCATTGGTTCCTATTTTTAGGCCTAGATATTAGGTTCCGCGAAAATAGGTAACTTCCAGGACCTGGTCAAAACGGGCATGCATGCTCGTAACTAGCCGTTGGCAGGCAATGGTCTGGTTGTTTGCTAGACGTGTAGTGGGCAGATTTGGGGATGATCGTCGAGGAGGATGGGATTGTGATTTGGGCGACGTTGGTCTTGGCATTCTAGAAGGTAGTCGACCAGACGTGCGTTAGATGACTATAGTTAGTGGGTCAATGCTTGTTGGGCCATTTTGGAGGTAGGAGCGGATTGGGCCAATTCTAGTCATTGGGTAAGTCCAGAATAAGAGCCCCCCCAAGTTGTTGCTTCTGGGCAGAGGAGCGATGACTTTAAGATATGCTCGGGAAACGGGGTAGCTCCTCTACCGGTTTCGTACGAGGAGTACAAGTGACACTCAGCGTGTTTGCATCGTGGGGAGAGGGACATTTGAGAGGCTATTAGAAGTTATTGTGTTTTTAGGGGCAATTTAGTACGAGGAGTCTGAAAATTGCTCAGGGTGTTCGTCTCGTGAGGAGAGGAACAATTGGTTGGAATTTGGGGAGTTTGTGTGTCACGCTTGCATCGAGCCACGTACTTCCATAAAGGCGTGATGATGGTTATTCTAGGAACTAAGGTGTAATGATGACGATTTTTAGAGTTCTATATGCGTGTGCTCGCTCACGTACCAGCAAGCTGCTATATAAAAGACAGAGAAAGAGCCTCATTTTCACTTTTCGCTTGCTCTCTTTCTGCTCGTCGCTGCTTACTTTTGCTCGACACAGTTGTTCTTTGATGTTTTTCTCTCGTTTCGCCGTTCGCCGCTGAGACTTTCACTTATCCCGCGAATAATCGTTGATAACTTGGTAAGTTTCTTGATTTTCCTATGTTATTGTAGAATTTAATCCTGTTATAGGCTGGATTTTGTTCTGCTTTTCCTATAAATGCATGCGGTTTATGGTTTAGATTAGTGTGAGAGTCCCCGGTTGAGCGTTGGTGTCTGGTGGTGGTTTCGTCGTATGAGGACGATGGTGTGAGGCCGTTTCTAGGCTTATGTTTTATGATCTTTACCAAAAACTATGGGTTCTTCATGAGCGTCTTCGACCTAGAGGTGTTGAGGAGATAGCTGTTCGCAGGATTTTTGTGCTCTTGCTCGTTGTAGATGTGCCCCACGAGAGCTTGTTTTTCTTTTTGTAGTCGAGTAAGGGCTCTAGTCGGGGACAGGGTCCTCGTTCCTTTGTGCCCTTTCACTTGATTAGCAGTTGAAGGGTGGATTTGATTTTGATGTCGAATTCACTTTTGTCCTCTTCTTTTCAGAAACTATGGCTAGTGGTACTAATGATGAGTTGGTGGTCGAACCCATCGATTCCTTGCTAAGTCTTTCTGAATACTTGTCGACATAGGGGAGCACTTCGGGGATGTATGAACCCGATCAACATAGAGCCAAAGTTGGTCGAGGAGAGGCAGGACGCACCTGTAATCCGAGTAGATCCCTTAGATTGGGTCGCTCCTGACCCTTTGAAGCATATCTCCTATTTCTTTGAACACCCGGATGAAGTGTTCGCCTTGGTGGCTCCGGAGATGGAGATAGAGGGTGCCGAGAAGGAGTGGTCGGTATATATACCTAATCTGAATCACGGGATATGTTCAAAGTTTGAACCGAATCATATCCCTATGTACGAGATTCTCTTGCGGGAGATATGTTTCAGACTACCTTTTAGTGAACTTCACGTGGCCGTTCTACGACATCTCTGCCTTGCTCCCTCGCAACTGCATCCTAACTCGATTGCCTTCCCGTGGGCTTTCGAGATTGTGTGTGATTATTTGTAGATAAGGGCTACTGTTCCTCTGATCTTCTATTGCTTCCACCTCCAACGGGGCGCTCATGGTGCTTGAGATTTGAGTTCTTGTA